AAATACATTTTCTGATAAAGACTTTGAGATTAGACCCTGAAAAAGGGAGTAAGTTGCCCTTCAGTTAAAAATATTTTGTGAAACCACTTTTCAAGAATGAACATTCATATTAAAATTGATTTTTAGATTAAAGTAATAAGTTCTTATGTATTTTTGCTTAATCGAGTTTGTTGGAAATGTGCCGTTCAAGTGGAGTCAGTGGTTTGAAACGTTCACTGGATCACATCAACTCATCCTTTGTAATCTGACACTGAGGCACATGAGTGGCGTGTGCATGCCAAGAGAGGCCTGTGAAACATTCATGAGCAGGAAGGCTGCAGGAGCACAGGAGCACACTGAGCTGCTGTAACAGGTGTGAGCAGAGCCATGGGGACTGTTGAGGAAACCTTGAAGTGTCCCGTCTGCCAGGATGTCTTCACAGATCCAGTGACACTCCCATGTGGACACGACTTCTGTCTCACCTGTATCCAGACTGTCTGGGAAACAGATGGGCGTGATGAAGGCCCTCACTTCTGTCCAGAGTGTCAGATATTCCTCCCCTCTGAGGCGACTCTGGAGATAAACACCACCCTTCAGACAAAAGTGAAGGACTTCGCCACTGACAGGCCATCGACAGCACAGCTACAGGCAGCAGCTCTGAGCAGGGCACCCAAATCACCTTCAACCGTCCGCTGTGACCACTGTATAGAGACGCCATCGGTGGCCGTGAGGACATGTCTCACTTGTGACGCCTCACTGTGCCAGGCTCACACCCTGCTGCACGAGCAGAGGTCAGCTCTGAGGGAGCACACGGTTGTGGAGGTGACGGGAGACCCGCTGTCTCTGAAGTGCAGGGAGCACCGTGACGAGCTCAAGCTCTTCTGTATGGAGGAGAAGGTCCCTGTGTGCTGTTTGTGTGTCCTGGTTGGGGTGCACAAGAACCACAAGGCTTCTCAACTCCATGAGGCCTGTGCACATTTCAAGGTGAACATCAATCTACTAATTCCTCAAATCTCTGTCTGTCTGTTTGTCTGTCTGTCTGTCTGTCTGTCTGTCTGTCTGTCTGTCTGTCTGTCTGTCTGTCTGTCTGCCTGTCTGTTGCTCTCATTCCTCAAGAACTGCTCATCTAATCTGTTTTCACACTTGGCATGTCTATTGTTGAAAATCTAATTTGGACTCACAAAACATTAATTCAATTTCAATAAATAGATAGCAGAGAGCAGTGGTCCAATACTCAGCAAATATCGGTTAACAGCAGTTATGAATCTGAATCTGTTTGATCACGGACGCACAACGGCTTCATTGCAGATAAACCAGGTAGTATGAATGCAATGATTTCCAACATCACTCTGCAACATAGATTATTTATAAAAAGCTCTGTGCACAATGTCCAGCACACAAACAATAAAAAGTGGCGGTATAGTAACTGTTTGAGGAGGACTCACTAATGACAAGAAATAATTCTGTACAGCCCATTCTGTACCAGTTAGCATCGATGTGTCATTGGCTAATGTGCTTATTTTTTTGTAATCAAATGATAATTACTTAATTTTCTTGTTTGGGTACTCATTTTCTATAGGCCTGCTATCTTTCTATCTTTAGGGCATGTTAGAGACCTCTATGAACCAACTGCTGAAGAGGAGAAGTGAAGCAGAGTTTGCCATCAAGGACTTGGAGTCACTGTACACACAAACAGTGGTGCGATCTATGAAAGAGTGTTGTTAAATCATCGGTGTTTTATCCATAGAATCCTTAAATTGATCTAAAATGCTTTTTTTCCTAGAGGTTTGCTGCAGATTTCCGAGAGAGAATCTCAGACAAGTACAACAGGATCCGTGTCGTGCTGGATGGCGATGAGCGTCTGATGATGCAGATTATAGATGCAGAGGAGACACATATGACAGAGTGGCTGGAGACCCAGAGGAGCATGATGGAGGCCCAGATTACAGAGATAGATAGTCTCAGAGCCTCCAGCAAGTTACTCCTTCGGGACACAAATGATCTGCGATTCCTGCAGGTAGGAATATGCAGACAGTGTGTTATTGTGATAATGTGAAAGTGTTGTACAAATGCAACTAAAACGTGTTCTGTAATTGCAATACTCACAGTTGTACATTACCCTTTTACTGCCAACAGCAAATCACAGCACAGAATCTTTGGTCAGTATATCATTCTTTTTTTTTTAATCCAACCTGACATCTTTTGGTTCGAGTTATGCCCACTAATGATTTTCAGTTTTTATTGTAGTGAACCTCTGGATTTAGCACCAATCCAGGAAGTAGACAAGGACCTTTGTGACCCAGAGAAACTGAGAACAGTAGAGAGGCTGGTGGACGACCTTTCAGTGGCTCTGTCCCAACACTTTCCACGAATGTGGTCATGTTAGTGAGGAAACAAATATTTAGCAATCTAAAATAAACCCCCACTATCTCTGTAGTTGTGTAATGCATTTTTCTGTTTGCAGATCAAAGTTCTCCTGCTCTGGACTCAACGACAGCTCACCCAAAACTGGAAATAACCCAGGATGAGAAACAAGTGTACTGGAGGAGAGAGCCTGTCAGTGAGGCTCTGAGCCCTCAACCCTATGACTCCCAGTACAGTGTCCTGGCTCGCGAGAGCTTCGCTTCAGGCCAGCACTATTGGGAGATCATTGTCCAGGAGAAACCTTACTGGCTGATAGGTATGACTACTGGGTCGGTTGATAAAAAAGATGTAATAAGTCAGACTTCCTCCAGCCTGTGTGTAAACAACACATCCTGGTGCATCTACCATGGAGATGGGCGGTACCTGGCATTGCACGATAACCAGGAGAAGCAGCTGTCAGTGGGAAAGAGAGTCAGGAAGCTGGGAATACTGACCAATCTCCAGAAGGGGGAGCTGTCATTCTACAATGCTGATGCAATGACACTTCTTCACTCTTTCTGTGTGCAGTGCACAGAGCCTCTCTACCCCATGTTAAACCCATGCATTGATGTGAATGGGCTGAACAAGCAGCCTCTTACACTGTTGTGGATCAAGGACCCCTTGGAGTGGCATGTAAACACTGATGGAGGTAATGAGTGAACTTGGGGACAACAATAAACCCAGCAAGCTCTTTTTTGTCTGCACAAATATTTTGGCACATAAATGTTTTGTTTATATCACATTACACAGTGGACACATCAAAGATGTTATAAGAATGTTTTCCTGTTCAAATAAGCTATTAAAGGTCCAGCATGTAAGATTTAGGTGAAAGGGATCTATTGGCAGAAATTTAATGTAGAATAATCCTCATGATGTTTTCACTGATTCGTTTCATCTAAATTGTATGAATTGTAGTTTTTTTTTTACCCCAGATAAAGCCCTTTATATTTAAATACTTTATATTTACATCGAGGCGACCCTCTCTATGGAGGCCGCCATGTTTTTTGCATTAGTCCAGACTGGACAAACTAAACACCTCTTTAGATTTTATGACAATTAAAGACTACCACAGTTTCTTTTTCATGTTTGGAAGGGGAGGGTGAGATGAGGGGTATTCAGCTGCAACATGCAATTTCAAGATTAGACATCACAAAATTCTACACACTGTACCTTTAAGTAAATGTTTGTGTTTGAGGCTTGTCTATAGTCATATATCGTTAACCTTACATTAACTTTTCTGTCTCTGCAGTTGTCCTGTAACTGTAAATATTTCATCAAGTGCTATCATTTGCATCGTCAAACAGCAATTTTGCTCTGTGTTAAAGTCTCTCTCCTCATTCAGCAGCTCTCATGTTCAACCTCATGCACTTCAGGATGTAAATGACCCGTGTGTAAACCACTGGCTTTTTTCTGGCTGTATAATTGCACCCTCAGCTTACTTGACCATGAAGGACGTGCATTCCTTCATTCCTTCATGTCAGGGGCCCTGCAGAAGTGCTGGCTTGCAGAAAACAAAATGTCTTGGGAGGTCAAATAACACTGTTTACACACAACATATCTGTTTTCTTCGACCCACGGTTCATTTTGTGGTTCATCAACAGAACATTGCATGACACAATGAGCTGTTAAACGGTGGTTAGAAAAGACTAATTCATAAGAATAAAGTGTAACGTTTATGCCAATCTGTGGTTTTAAAGGGTATAACTCTTGTGTAATTTCTGCCACCCAGGGGTCAGTTGAGGACATACAGTAAAGATATGAGGGCACAGATCAGAATAAATAGACCACTGATTCATTTGAGTCAATTTCTACAATGAAGGGTCCAATGACAGACCCCTGATTAATGCAAAAGTGATTGATCACCTGTTCGATTAAAAAATATGACACTTGACACTACAATGGGCTTACAGCTGTCACATTTTAAAATAAGTGTCTTTTTGTTTTCCATTCCAGATCACTTTTGGTGAAGATAAAAGCTAATATTGAGAAAATAGAGAAAATTAGGACACTGTGACACATAGATGAACAGTAGAGACTGCAGACTTTTTTCTTGAGAGCAATTTACAAAATCTGTTAAACTGACATGACAATGCGAATTTAGTTCAAGGACAAAACCATTTGATAAAGAAGAGCAGAATCCAAGAGCTACACACGATGAGCATGACTTGCTGCATTCATGGCTGCAGCTGATGGCCTGTTGCTTTTGGAAACGTTGCTTGAGTCTTTGATTTGATCCAGTCCAGGAAATGGATGACACGCGTGTAGACCCCAGGCTTGTTCGCCCTCCCACACTGGTCTCCCCAACTCACCAGGCCATAAATAACATTGACATGATTCTGCTTACAAGTCAGTGGTCCTCCAGAGTCACCCTGAAACAAGAGAAAACCACTGAGCAGATAGAAAATGCACACACTTGCAGAAAACACCTCAGATAAGTTAGTACTGTGAACGATAGCAAGCATTTAACTCACAAGATTCCTCTACTTACCTGGCAGGAATCCACCCCTCCCTGCAGGTAGCCAGCACAGAGCATGGTATTGTCCATAATTCTGCCGTAAACAGTGGGTTCAGAGCATTTCTGCTGGTTGATCAGCAATACATTGGCCTGGAGCAGGTGGTTGGAACCAAACCTAGCTGCAGAGACATGACATATAAGCATCTATTTTCAAAGGTCACATGAAAATAAAAATTTAAGGTTGAAAGAAATCATGACAATTATGTTTTTTTATTTTCCAGCTGGATGCGCAAATGGTGGTCTTACATTCCTCAGTGGCACCCCATCCAGAAATGGTGCAGTCTGTCCCATCAGGCAGTTGGGCATCAGGCAGACAGGCTGTCTTTACAAACTGGGTCTCTCTGGCACAAACACCACCAGTTCCATTCAGCCTCAGCAAGGCTTCGGATATTCAGAAAAGTCATGATAAAATAAAAAATGAAAAATGTAATTCTTGTAGTTTTACATCACACAAGTTTACAGATTCTGTAGAGTTCATAAAACATAACATAGATGGGATTCTTTGACACCCTTGTGATTCTCTCACATCCCATTCTTATCTAAACGAGGAAGCCTCAAGATACAGAATTAGGGCTCTGGCTTAATTTGAATATTGTCGGTACTATCAATGCCTATTTGACATGAAATAAGAGAGACACGGATCACCTATGTCGTTGTATACAGCTGTAGGAGTCTCCCTGTAGTTCTCATGCACAATAACCTCTTCAACTTGTGCGGTTTGCTCTGTGTATTCTGTCATGTTCAGAGACAGATCTCCCAAAACCACTTGCATGTCCTTTCTGCTTTCACTGTTCAAACACAAACAACAATAAAGATTAGATACAAGTGTGAACAGAATCAGCCAATTTTGTGTGGTTGGTTAGTTTTTTTCTCTCAGATTTGCATTACAATTGTACTCACATGCAGTGTCCTGCTGTCAGCACCCAGCAGCTGGCAATTAGAACTCCTCCGCAGATGTGTCGGAATCGCATGTTGGAGCCCTGTGGTCTCACTTGCACAGACACCTGCCAGGGTAAAGCGCCCGGAGGCACCTTCAGACCCCCAAAAATTCGGGTTATGGACCTTTTAGGCTGAGGCAGCCCACAGGTGGTGAACTGTGCTGGTGGAACAGTGGAAACAGGGCTGGGAGGAATAGTAGTGGGTATGGTAAAAGGTTGTGGAGCCTGGCTGGGCTTTGGGGTCATTGGGGGTATGGTAGGTGCTGGGGGTTGGGTTGGCTTTGGGGGTTGGGTTGGTATTGGCTTGATTTCTTCTGTGGAGTCAGGTTTTGTAGGTTTTGGTTTGGGAATAGTGGGATCAGGGACTGCCATGGTAACTTCAGTTGGCGTCTCATCTGAAAACACAAACAGAAAAAAGATAGCACAACTGGTTTTGTCATGATCGGAAAGTGTTTTGAGGCCTTAAAGCTGACCTGTTGGCTCAGGACACTCTGTCACATCACAGTAGGCCCACAGCAACTTGCGACCTCTTCTATAGAAACACCAGGGCATTGTGTCGCCATCTGGGTTTCTGCACCAAAGAAAACAAGTCAGATAACACCCTGTTGTAGCTGCTGTCAGCAGTTTGAAAAAACGTATCTATCTTCTCCTGACCTGCAGAAGTTGTGGGGGCCGAGTCCATCTTTGTCCTCAAAGGCGGTGAAGGGATTCGTCCCTTGCTCCAGTATGAAGTGTGAGTTCCAGTAGAGGCATTCATCACCGTCATCAGTCTCACTGACATGGCCACGATATGACTCTCCATCCTCCACAAAGCAGTCATCGGGGCCTACGAGATGTATCACACTCAGTCAGCATTTGAGTTATGATGATGCTTTGATATCTCAGGCTGAATAATGTGGGGCACAGCATTTACCAACTTGGCAGAAATGTCCTCTGTACCCTGGACTGCACTTGCAGTCGAAGTCGTTATCATCTATGGTGCACTGGCCACCGTTTTGACACGGGTTAGGATCACACAGTTTATCTTTGGAGAAAAACAATAGTGCAGAGTGTAAGCTTGCTTCCAGGTACTGTGGAAAATACTGGCAGAGAGATGCCCTGTGTTATTTAGATGAGGAAATACTTACATTTCCTGCAGTCTGGAGGCTGGAAGGGCTCCTTGCACTTGCATTCATAATATGGGGGAGTTGACGTCAGAACACATTCACCACGTCCACACCGACCTCTCCTACAATATTTTTTAGCTTAAAGGATAATGACAACGTTTAGTATTAATTCAATTTTGCTCATTTTTTGTGACCAATTTGCAGTCCAACAACGGATTTTTTTTCAAACCTCTTTCGCATCTTTTTCCTTTGTAAGGTTTGGGACAGTCACATTTGTATTTGTTCTTGGCTTTCGGCTCACACACTCCATTGTTAAAGCAAGGGTTTGGGTCGCATTGGCCTGAGAAATTAAAAAATAAATAAGCATTGAATGAGAGTTTTACAAAGCAACATAGCCTGTTAATCTAATATTATACAGATCTGTATTATTTACCCCCTGTAACTACCCCTGTTGTTTTTTGATGTTTAGTTTGTTTGTGAATTAGATTACCACAAATCAAATTATAACATAACATTTTAGTGCAGATCCAGATCAGGGGATCAGAGCAACGACCGCAAGTCAAGACATTTACTGACAGAATACATGAGTGTTAACTCTGTCTCTTACCTTCTGTCTCTTGAAGTTCAAAAAGCCAGCCATTATGATCATCATCATCATCATCATCATCGTGAGAAGATCCCGACATGATCTCAAAGAAGTAGTCTATGGAACAATCATTTTTTTTGCTGTTATAAAGCAATGTTGTCTTCCCTTGTGAAGACTAAGAAGACGCTAAATGTCAAATACAAACATACTCTACATGTAATGAGCAATAAAAATGAATAGAACAATACATAGAACTTACCAATAATTAAGTCCTTAATTTTTTGTTTCCTTTTCCCATGTTGATCTCTCCTTTCAAGACCACGACCATGACCATGACCATCACCATGATGCCGATGCCGATGTTTTTTGTCCTTTTTAGGTTTCAGCTGAATAGTGAGTTTCGGATGACAGCACCACATATGAATCATAACAACAGAAATATAACGAGCAGTTGCTTAGTAATATTTTAACATATTCATTATCTTTTAAAATAGAAACACAGACAAGTTCTTCAATTAAATCTATTACAAAACATCACAGCCTTGTAAATATGAGCCAGTACATTTGCTTATTGATGCACAAGTGCTATATAATACATCCAATAAACACATACTTCAGCAGGTATAAGCAGCACTGCTAAGAAGAGGCAGAGAAAGACGAGCTTGAAGTTCATGATGAGGATCAGACGACATCCAGAAGAGTAAAATGAGAGTTTGCTGTCTGGCAGATCACTCACACTTTTCTAAACATTCATGGAAGTACACTAACCTTTGATTCGGAGGAGGTTGTCTGGCTCCAGTCCCTGCTGCTGAGTCAGTTTTATTGATTTTAGCTGTGCTCTTGCATGGTTATCTTTGTATTAATAACAATAATACAGAGTAAAAAAAAATATTCCTAACCACTTTTAATGAACATGAACATGAAAATCAATACCACTGTCTCAGCCACCTTATATTTCATTTGGAAATTCATTCAATTGAGTTTTGAGCAAATGGGTGAAGCATGCACTTTAGATTCAACACACAAGCTCAGAGAGCATATTTGCGAAGAGTTATTTGTTTGAATTTAGACTTTGGATCCACACACTTGCACCAGGTGCATCTAAGGATAAGCGACTCCTTTTTTTAAAAATACTGTGCATATTTCTGTTAATCTGAAAGCCTAAGAAACACACTGGAATGAATGTGTAGTAATTACACAAGATTAAAAGAGACTCATCAGAGATCACTGGTGGGAGATGGAGCACTACATATTACAATAGGATTTGCATTGATGCTGTTGTGGTCATGACCAGGACACAGGGCCAGGTGGAGGCAGTCTGAGAAGGTTCCCGCACAGAACGAGAACAGCGGCACCATCTTGTCCGCCTCAAGAAACGTCACCAGTCCTGCGGGTAAGCTACATATGACACCAACCCGACAGAAGCGTTTGGTGAAAGGCAACTGATGGGGCACTCCTCCGTGCCAGGCTGTGTACTCCCCATCAAAGAACTCCACACACCAGGACTCGCCACCCCGGCCCAGCCAACAGTCCTCTGTGGTGCCCTTGCGAGGGATGGTTGGGTAGGTGATGCCCAGCTCCCAGTAAGTTTTCCCAGTCACGTCGATCTCCCAGTAATGGCGGCCAAAGCTGAAGGCTTGCAAGCTGATGACATTGAGGGTGGTGTCGAAGCGTCCAGGGAGATCCGGAAGCTGCTGCCAGACGTTTGTGTAGGTGGCACTGTCACCTTGGTGGGAGATGATGAGCTTTGGGTGGGCCGTCTCTGGATCCAGACACACCTCACTGGAATCTGGAGACACATGTTTTAGATTTTTACGTAGAATAAGCACCACACTGAAGAGGTCCAGTTTAAGCACTATAGAAATATGTTAACTGACAGCTCTTGATGAGTTTCCTCATTATAGGCGTCTGCGAGCTGATTAGCAGAAGCAGGTTGTTGGTGAGGCTGAGTATCTGTTCAGCTTTCGCCTCGTCCAATTTCACACTGCTCGGGTCCGTCGTGCTCAGCAGATCCATCACTCTGGAGGAGGCAGAGAAACATCAGCGTTGGCTCCACTCTCAAGCATTTTCTGTTATTAATAATGATCTGAGTCCACACCTGTCTTCTGTCTGCATGTCCTGCTGCACAGGGTATGAAAAGACAGACTGAGGAAAAGCAAAAAAAATCAAGATTCATACACTACACAACAGTTTTAATTCACATGAGAATGTTTTGATCAACTTGGTTTTGCAGCTGTTCAGTTTAATCACCATTACATCAGGCGTTGTGAAGGTCTGGTCCAGTGCCACAGTGAGTCTGGCCAGGTCCTGCTCTATCTCCTGGATCAGTGAACAGTTCCTCTCCATCAGTCCATCCAGAGCGGAGACCGCAGCCCGTTCCTCCATCTCCAGGTGGGACAGGGTCAACCTCAGGTCCTCGTCCAGGACGGCCTGGATCTCCTGATATTTCCTCACAATGCTCTCCCTTATCGCTGAGGACTTTTTCTAAGTCAGGGATATGCATTTATGAGTTTATTATACTGTCTGACCACAGGTGTAATCACAGTGTCTTTTGTTGCTGGATAACAAAGGTGACAAGAAGATTCCATGTTGTGGTAAAATTGCAGCACTGCTGAGTGTGAACTTACAGTGATTTCTGATTGTCGGGCTGCCAGCTTCTTCAGTCTGTATTTCACTGCTTCTCTTTGCCTCTTTAAACACTCCTGGTGCTTTTCTAATGTCTCCTGTAGAAAGGGTTGGACACACATTCAGCACAGCTCCGTTCAACAGCAGTGAGGAGGATCTACAGTCAGACTCAACAGAAGCAGTTTATTATGAGACCTAATGCAGATAAAGTGGAGCTTCTCCAACAGTAAACAGTGTAACTTCCATCTTGTCTTCAGTCTTGTTTTGAATGTTTATCAAAAGGTATCTTCTTTATTTTAATGGTTAAGTTTCATGTTATAATACAGCACAGAAGATTTTTACCTTCTTAAGTTGAAATCTTCTCCCATCAATGCTATTATATCACTGGCAGTGTTGTGACGTGTATTATACAGGTGGAAAATCAGTAAACACGTTATCATACAGCCCATGATTTACAAGGTAATTTAGTTAGTGGTTACAATAAAAAACATAAAAGTCCTACATAGAGACACTTGGAATAAAATCGATAATTGATAAAAAGGGTGTCACTAACCTTTTGCTTATTATGTAATTGCGTTTTTTAAAAAGCGGGGACCAGCCACCATTATGTTAAAGGTCCAATGTGTAAGATTTAGGTGAAAGGAATTTTTTGGCAGAAATTGAATATAAAAGAATCCTAGTGATGTTTTCACTGGTGTGTAATCACCTAAATTGTATGAATTGTTGTTTTCTTGACCATAGAATGGACTCTTTATATCTAAAAACTTTATATTTACATGGAGGGGGTCCTCTCTGTGGAGGCCACCATGTTTTTTACTGCTGTGCAAATTGGACAAACTAAAACCTTTTGAGTTTTCATGACAACTGAAGTTCACCACAGGTTCTCTTTCATGTTTGGAAGGGGAGGGTGAAATGAGGGGCTATTCAGCTGCAGCATGAAACTTCACCTCTAGATGTCACTAAATTCTACACACTGAACCTTTAAAGCCCAAATACCATAATCTTACTATGTAATTTAAAATAACTAAGAATAACGATAACTAGGTTTAACTAAACAACTGTTTTATGCTCCCACTGTAAATCTGTGATTTATTATTATCTAACTTGTCTCCACCTAAGTTTGTCTCCTTTATGACATTATTTAAATTCAATAGATTACATCTGACAAGAGAACATTTGTTTTCTACTCCACCTGTTCTTAGTTCCATTAATTGTTTCTCCTTCTCTTTCAGTTGTTTCTAACTTTTGTCCAGTCAGTATTTTATTGTGTCATACAAACATTTACACTTAAAATCACAGGCTGTATTATAATACAGTGTTATTGTTCCACAATAATCTCACTTGTGGCTGAATAAGGTCAAACTGCAGCTTTCAGAAACATGCAGTGATGTATGACCTGGCACTTTGACAAGATTGATTTGAAAACAGACAACTTAGTCAATTAATTATATTTCTGTATTTCTTGGAGAACCATCCTGGTGGGATTCTCCTTTATTGTCACTATGAATGTAACCATGCTTTCCACCACTGTTGACCATTTTCCACAGCACTTTGTTCTCACCGTCAGTTTTACATGTGCATGCACTGGATGATTCTGTGACATCACAATGTGCAGGTTATAGAAGACTGATGTGTTGAAACTTTCAGTGTACATGCACTGCCAGTGGGTTTCTCAGTGGAGTAGCAGAAACCTTGCGTGAACTTTTGAAAGTGCATTTGCTTATTCACAGGACGGGGTAGAGACAATTTTTAAAATTCTTACCTGGTTTATTGATTTGTCTTTTTATAGAGAAAAAACATATCAGACACAAATTATTATACCAAGCAACATATTTTTATATGTCTTATAATTTGTCTGGAGGAGATTTTTAAATTGTCCTGCTTTTCTTGGAGCCAGTAGTCAGTTTCATTTCACCATATGTGGAAATTAAAATTGGAAAAACATTATACATGCTTGAGGTAATAAGATGTAATCCACGTCATGAAAGTTGTATACATTATTTTGTGCCTTCTAACGGGAGCATCACAAAGTCAGAATCAATTAGGATTGGAAGAATGCATGTTAGATATGAAAAATAATTCTGGCTGTGTAGAGTAAACAGCTCAAGGCTACATTTACCACTATTAGCAAAACACATTTACACCAACCAAAGGTTGGTTTATTCTGCACTATTGGTAATGAAGACACCAGGTTTTGGCAAGAAATAAGAAGGTAAGGAATAAAAATGACAATATATATGGGACTGCTGCACTGATTTTAATCAGACTATAATCACAACTATTAATCATGATTCTGACTGGTAGCGGTACAGTGCTTAAACTGTGGAGAATGCTTTAACTAAGCTTAAGCTACTTTGTAGCACTGCTTACAAAACAGTTATTTTTTGCAAAAGTACAAAACTATGCAAGACTTGGACACGTGAGCCAAATCTGTTATCTTCTTGCACGTGAATGCATCAATTGGGAAGAGGTGTTCAAATAATTATTGTTTGCAACTTCAATAACACATGAAGATATTAGTGGAAACAGAGAGTCATGATTTAAAATTTGAAGCAAGATTCAAATTGCAAAGTAGCTTTTTAATTCTTTCATCATTCAGTTGCTTAATTGATTTAAATAAACCGTGGCTGTGTGTGCTATGGAAAATGGTCATTTATATTATATGTTAGCATTGTAAGTGGGCTATGGTCTTTCAAGACACAATCAACAATCATGTATGCATTTATACTTGCATATGATCAAACTGTAAATATTAACAGGAGTGAAAATATGTTTCTTTGTCGGGGCTCCAACTAGTCAGTGTTTGTATGGAAGACACCATCTGATTGGTCATTTAAAAGTCAACAAGTCCTCAGACTACCTCACAGCCATCACTGAACCGGTGTGATCAAATATGGTGAAATGCAGAGAAGAAAACACAGAGGAGAAAAGAGGCGGTGGTACCTTTGGTATAGCCGAGGATCATATGATTTGTGGTGATTTAAAGCTTTATTGGCTTAGATTTCAATACAACAAAATGGCAGTGTGGGTTTTTCATTTATAAAACAGTACTTTCAAATACAGTTGCTTCTTTCATTTTGTGTTTTACCTTTTTGAATGTTACTGTATGTCGGCTATGGCAATAAAATATATTAGGATATGTACTTCCAATACATGTAAAGGGAAAGTGTCTGGCTGTGTTTATGAGAGCCTGAGAAGAGAGACGTTTTCTTTTTGTCAGGGTCGGATGAATGTTTTTGCGTGTACAGTAGCCAGGAGGGGAAGGAGACGGATAATGTGGAGGTGCTTGGATCATTCATTTCCATGTAGATCCAGAAAAAAACAGTTTGTGGGTCAGCTGACTGCTTTCCCGGGGGCGTTTTTTTTTTTTTTTTTTTTATTAATTCAAAGACTCACTGAGCCGATTCTTGCAAACTTTGGACTAAAACAGTTTCAGCCCAAGCGAAGGAAAGCTGACACATGTTCAAGCTATACAAGCATGGACATTTTGTAATGGCGTCATGAGGTTTCTACTGTACTTACAAAGTTCCACAGGAATCAACAGCAACAAAGAGTAGGAATAAACAAGCAAGAAATAAAGGAGAGCAGTTCCACTCAAAGCAAAAGCGAGAAGAAAACACGAGCGCAATCAAACCAAATAACATGAACCTATGTATCATTCACTCTCATTCTTTGTCATTTTTGAACATGGAAGAGTTTCCCATTCCTTGTTTCCTGTGCAAATCTAACTGGACAAATCATTCAGCTCGCAGTCTCAGGAAGCATCAGAGCAAAAAATAAAAGAGTCCATCTCATGGCTTCCTTGGTTATGTCAGGATAAAAGAAAACAAAAAAACAGAATAAAACGAAATAAACCAAAACCTACATCTAGATTACAGTTTGTCGTGTGCTATCTGAATGAATGTACAGTATATGCATGCTGCTCTGAGTGCTAGAAGAGCTTGGCCTTCTTTTTCATGTCGTTGCGTTTCCACAGGGGAAGCCTGTCAAACTCCTGGATCTCCATTCCAAAGATGTCAAAGAACGTTTCGGGCGCTAAGTGGCGCTAGAATTGAGAACAAAGGTGGAGAAAACAAAGGAGGGGAAGGGATGGGAGTAATTGTGGTTAGCACCGAAGCCATAAAAAAGAGGGTCACTGCAAAAATGACAAGAAGCAATGGATACTGCACATTCCTCGCTACAGTTGTATTTTTGTGCAACATGCTTTTTACACAAAAGTAGAGAAAATCCAGTATCAATTGCGGACAGTCATGTGGAAAAACTAATACCTCCAGTCTGGTTCTGTCCACATCCCTGGGCAGTTTAGCTCTCCCTCTACTGGTTATCATGAGCATTTCATAGGGGTACACCTTCAGAAGGAGACACTCGTCAGTGAACAGGTCAAACCTACAAGCTAGAGTCAAGCTGCAAAAACCTTACAAACCATTTCTTATTTAGCCCAACTATAAAATTTGGAGACTTTGACACAGGGAACACTGGGTGGGAGAACAGGTATGTGACAGGAGGCTGACTGGGAGTGAGAGCTTGATATTGTTTTTGGTTGTCAGGGAAATGCGGGGTGTTACGGTGTGAACACTTATTTTTGGGTGTAGACACGTGCAATAGATTAGGTAAGGGCAAGAACATGAGATATTTAACAGTCTGTATGTATGTATATCTTTAATGCAAACTAAAATAAAAAACACCATCAGTCATGTAAGTTAAATAAATCCACTTGGGAGTGATTGTCCTGGTGCATTTTCTACATTTCTATATAGCTAATCCCATCTGTACAGGAATAAATGAGAGTTAGCATTTTAGCGGAAATGCTCAGTAATAAGCAACTAGAAGTTCTTCGAGGCCTCTGACCAACTCATATCCACACAGTTATGTGTACACTCCCTTATATACTAGACAGTATATAGTGATATGAGTTGTTCGGATGACAATCTGGGCGTTGGATTCTCCACTGTATGCTGCATACAGTATCCAGCCACTGTAAGTTAAAAGCTATGTGAAGATGAGCATGGAGAAGCCAGCATGCTGTAAGCACTACAGAGTGACTCGGCAGCTCCTGAAGCAGCATGCTAAATCAGGAACCCAGCAAATGTGAGTCTTTCACTTCCAGTAAATCTGTTTTTTA